ACACACGGACACAGTCCCTCCCCCAATTAACTAAGAAGCAATTAAACTACCCACCGCCAGGCTCGAAGCTCCGGCTAACCTCCCCCAGAGGAACCGGCCTTATCACAAACAAACAAATCTGTCTCAGGCTGAGGGGCGGCCCTTTCCGTCCCCCGCTCACCTCGCAGGGAGGGCAACCGACTCCCTCCCGCCCCCCGGCGGGACGCTCTCCTCCTCTCCCCCGACTGGCATGTGTTTCTAAATCTTCACTAATTTCCCCTCTGAGAGCTGAGGCTCTCTCCCATTCTGAGGAAGGGAGGACCCGGAGGCCAGCATTTGGGGCTTTACACCTTCGTTATTTGAACTCCCCTCGAAGTTGTTTCGGGACTAGACACCCACTCGCTGTGGAGAAGGCGGCGAGGGGGGGAGCCGAACGGGCCAACGCTGTACCAGCTTTTATGTAACCCACGTATAAAGAAGTTCATCGCCGCGCTCGCTCCGAATGCTAGCACGACGGGAGTGACAATCGGCCCACCTCCCCCAAGTCCAGGGCGCCCACTCCCCCACCGGCCTCTTTACGGGGTGCTCCGCGCCCCTCGGCCAAGCTGCTCGGCCTCTCCCCGCGCCCCCGGCATGCCCATTCCCGTCGCGTCCGCCTCCCTCAGCTTCAACTTCCCACGACCGAAACTGCCCGGCGCGGACCCGCCGGCGGCCTCGCCCGCCCTCAACCGTCCCCCTTGGCAGGAAACCCCTTACTGCGGTCTAAAGTCACTCCGGCCTGTTCCTCCTGACCCTCGCTTGCCACAACTGTTGTCACTCGAGCTGCTCCCTAGTTTCCATTTCCGGGCCGTCCCTGGCCCTGGAGCCTCCCCTCTCCCGGTTTCCGGGCCCCCATCCCATTTCCGGGGAACCCTCGCAGCCTTCACACCCCCCACCTGCACTTCCGGCCCCCCACTTTCTCTCTTCCTAGACGCCCTCCAAGCTCCAAAGCCCACTTCCGGCCCCCCCGGCCCCCTCTGGGCTCCAACACCCGAACGCCTCACCCCGGCTCCGTAAAGCGCCCTCCNATCCTCGGGTCCCTTCAATTATCAGCTGAGCCGCAGCACCGCGGCCGGCGTGCGCCTCCGCCCGCGCCGCCTCCCTCCCCGCCCGTTCCAACACCCTCGGGAACTACTTTGCGCTCCGACTGCGCTGACGGGCTCGTCCGCGGGACCGGCCCCGCTGCCTACTCGCGGCCCATCACATCGCCCCTCCCTCCCC